GGAGGAAATCAAAACAAACTGGCTTGGATCACCTTCTGCCACCACATTAAAATGAAAACTGCCAGGGAATGAGCACCTAAAGCACAGGCTCCTTTGCTGAACTCATGTCTCTGCTCTTTTGTTATCAGATCCAGCGAGTTGCAGGGAGCCACTGACCATCTGAGTTTCCTCAGGGCTTTGTAAACACATCCGTTTTCCCCTTCAGAGCCACAGGAAAGAACTTGTGTGTTAAGTGACAAGGGCATTTCACTTCTCAGCAGACTACTCAGCTCAACCCACACACCATGACCCAAACCCAGGCTTTGGAGCTAGACTTCCCGTGATCTTGCACTGACTCCAAAACCAAGCCCTGATTCCTTCTACCCGGGATGAGGAGCTAAATTGCTGCTGGCTCCACGATAAAGAGAGACAGGGTCCTTGAGAAGGAGATCTGGATCATGATGTTAGAGAGTTCAGCTGAACTCGTTCATCTCAGTCTGTGGTTCAGGGGGTGGCTACTTACCGTACAAATGTATATGTGAACATGTCAGGTGCCCTGAGTATGATCAAGGATATTGCTCCACTAAATAATAAAAAGGGTAATTGTTTTACATCCAAGTTCCTCCTCCTCAGCCTCCTAATTAGATCATTACCTTGCGCTCAGATACGAATAGGAAAAGGCCATTTTTTTTAATTGGCTTCTCTTGGTATAAACAAGTTACTCAGAGATGTAGGCAGAGGCAGCGGTAAACAGCACGACAACAGGGCAAAGGGCTCACTGGGCTAAGGGATATTAATGGTTTGCTGCTTGCGAATAACCCTTTCCCCAGAGACCTCCTTATGCTCTGTGTATTCTCTCTGCATACGCTGGCAGCAAAGCGGAGGCTTTATTAAGAGAGTTACAAATAAGATCAAATTCCTTTAGGAGTTTTTCAGAGTTCCCAAGGCGTTCAAGGAGGGGTCCAGCTGTTTGCAGGGGTTTCCCATTACGGTCAGAGACACAAGTTTCAGCATGTTTCCAGTTAAAAGAGGATCCTGGAGGATTTTCTCTTTAACATGACAGGGATAGAATGGAGTTCTTCATAACTTTCCCTCCACAGATGCTAAGCACATTTGTATAGACATTAGACAGAGAGAAAGGATGTGTATGGCATGGCATGGTGTCTGAAGTCTAAATCGAGGATCTGATGTCACCGAAAAGCAGCACAATGATGGCTGTGTTATGCAGGTGTTAAAAGGCTGCAATGTCACGATAGCTCAGATCCCTCTCCCTGAGCACATAACTTGCCTCCCGTCTCTGCAGGATCCAAAAAATTCATCTTTAGTGGACGTTATCTCCTCAGTATTCCTACAGGAGTACAAGGTCTTGTTTTTCAAGGCAGAAACAACACACACTAGATTATTTGCTCCCTTATCTTAAGGCTGAGACAGAAATATAGACAATGCTCTATTAGGCCAACCCCTCTCCCATCTTTGGCCTCTGTTCTTCAAAAGCCTCATCTGTTAAAGCTGCAGATATCTAAATTTGACTCAAATGTGCATTTTATTCACAGGGGGAAAACTGGAATAAAATCTGAACTGTTTTTCATTAGGAGAGGAAGAAAAGATACCCTTCCCCAATTTGGGGCAAGTACGAGTTCTTCACTCATCCAGTAACTCATGCTACCTGGATCAAGTAATCACTGCAAACTCATCCAGGACCTACTTCCCGCGAAAAGGCCCTTTGCCAAGGCTCAGACTTGACCTGTGAAATTCAAACAGAACAAATCTTCCATGTGCAGAACTTAGGCTGGGAACTGGCCTTATGGGAACTGGATGCTGCTGCTAAGTCCAGGTCATATGGTCATATTTGTAAGATCAGCTCGTCGCAAATGTCTGAAATCAAAGGCTGCCACAGAGGAGTCCTCTCTGTAACACAGGGCTGTGGAAATGTGCAGGGAAACACTCTCTAGCTAGAAAAAGCTTTGATTTATAGGCCATGATGTTTTCACCCGCTCCTGAAGGAACAGAGTTGCCTGCTGGGCTAGGCAGGCCCGTGGCAGGAGCACAGTTTCTGGAGCAGGTTGGGGGATGCTGCGCACCACTCCCATGATTGCTAGTGGCAGCTGGGAGCACAACCCCCTCACTTCAGTGCTGCAAATGTAGGCAGCACTGTTATTTCCTGCAGCATGCCATGGGGAAGCATGGTGTAAAGACGCTTTTTGCTAATTTGGGTTGCAGATGTTTCTCCTGCGAGGCCAGTAGAGAGGTAATGACCACAGCCACAATTTCCCTTCCCTGCAATACTAGAGCTCTGTCCTGTTGGGTCAGCTCACACAAACAGATGAAGGAAAGGTCATGGTAAGAAGAGACTTACCCGTAGCATTGGCAGGATCATGCCGATGTGACCAGCGAGCTGTTGCTGAACACACTAGCAGACCTAGACAAACACTCTCGAATATAGTGGCCCTTCTCGGTGTTCAGTGATAGGACATGGGGCAATGGATGCAAGCTGGAGCATATGGAGTTCCACGTAAACATAAGGAAAAACTTCTTCACTGTGATGGTGACAGAGCGCTACAACCGTCTGTCCAGAGAGGTTGTGGAGTCTCCTTCTGTGGAGACTTTCAAAACTCACGTGGACATGTTCCTGTGTGACCTTATGTAAGTAATACTGCTCTGGACTAGATGATCTTTCGAGGTGTCTTCCAACCCCTGACATTCTGTGGTTCTGTGATTTGAGGGGTGGAGCACAGTAAGCTGAAAGACCACATACTCACTTGCGTTTTTTTTTTAGTTAAGCTCACACACCCTCCCCTCAGGATTTCAGCATGCAGGGGAACATCAGTATCAACAGTTACACTGTCTGTCTTTCAGCCAACACACCGAGCACCTAAACGCTTGAAAAATCCTGAGGAAGACATTCATGTTCCCTGGTGAGTGCCTCACTTCACGTCCCGAGCCCTGCAGCCAGCCATTGTCCCATAGATACTTCCCATCCTTCATTTGCTCTTAAGCAGGCAGGACATACCCACCCGCTCAAGCACCCCAGTCATGCCAGGATGACTGAACAGATGCTTGAGATCCCAGCAACTCTAAACATATAAATATTTGCTCCTCTCCAACAACTCAGTCATTTTTAGCATCAGTTCATGGCTTAAAACCTTGCACTAGATTTCAGTGTAAAGCTACCTTGGCATTCGCAGCGCTGGCTTGACATTACATTGTCTTATACTGAGCCTGCTCTAATTTCATTTAAGAGGTGACACAGGAGGAAGACCCTGACTCATCCCAGCAGCAGACTGCATGCCACATTCTAAGATCTTATTTCACATTCTAAGACCTTATTTCCTTGGACAAACATCCCTAATTTGTAGAGATCACAAGGGCAGTTTGAAAACAACAGGGCACACAAGCACTACAGATGGTTTGGCACGTGCACCTCTGCTGTCACAACTCACCACTTGTTCTCTTAGCTACAGCTTTGCTTTCCCAGCTCCACTGCCTCCTACTGCCTTTTCTAGTGCCACATACCCTCCTCTCAGCCAGTACAAGACTTTGCGTCTGGGCAAGGAAGAGTAAAATTTTATCCTTTGTGGCTTCACATAGAGTTTTGCTTCACACCGACATTCAACATCAGGCCCCGGTGCTTGTACGTTTTCACCAGTACAAGCCTGTTCTGCTCTCTCAGCAAGGACGAAGGAGCGGTGTGCTCAGGTCTACACCAGAAACCTGTCCAGTTTCGCTGACTCAGCAAGCTGTTCCGCTTCAGCAACCAGTGAACACACTCTTAGCCCATCCCAAACACCACATGCAAGAGGTCTAGGCTAACCTATTACATACATCTATTTCAGCTTCAGCACCCTGGCAACTGGGGGGCAGCAGGAGCACCTCCAGGGGCATAGGTCACCAAAGGAGATGAAAAGTAACTCGTTAAAGGACGGTGACTCTCCTACCTTGCATCTGAACTGTGAGAGTGGGTAGGAGATCCTGAACTACTCAGCTGTCCTGCAAGTGCTCAGATTTTCAGAACTACAAAAATAAGGCGCTCACCATACTGTATAAATAACCTGACTGTCCTGATTCCACCTGCGGTCTCCCACTGACACCCATCTGCTTATCTTATTTCCAAGCAGTCACTTCGCATGCTTCCATTTGAACAGCATTTAACTCCTTAAGGGCACTGAATCAGCACCTATGAAGCCAAAGATCCCCTGATACAGCTGAACAGATACCAGCACAGGCAACAGCAGCAGCTCATGTTTTCCTGTACAACCCCCTCTGAAGCCTTTCCCACTCCGGAGGCAATTCCTTTGGGAAAACAGGTAATTCCCTCTCACCTCTGCAGAGGAGGATAATAAGGAACCTTACCACACAATTTTGCACTGCGGGCAGTTGCTCTCTCTGCTACAGCCTAAAATATTCAAAGTCATTTCACATTGGCTCAAGAACAGATAGTTCTGGTGAATGTTTTCAAATTTATTGATCTTAAACATATGAATGTAAGACTATGATAGCCCGAGAGTAAAGAAGCTACATGAAGGTGCTTTGAGTCAACTGTAACCTGATGCAACTTAACAAGCTTTTTGAATTTTCACCCCCTGCTTTAGCTTCAGTAAAAGTTTAAATGTAATGTCAAGGTCAAGGATGGTCTCTGACATCCACCAGTAATATGCTCCTCCATATTAATGATAAAGGTCCAGTGTATGAACCAAGAGGAGGACAGAAAATTGAATAAGAAATTCAAATAATACCTTCAAACATATCATCTGATGAGTCTGCTAAAAGTCTGCAGCTTGGTAATTTAGCTAGGGCATCTAGGTGAGCCTCAGTTTGGTGCTCATGATGAGTTAACTGCTGGTTAACTGGCTAGTTAACTGCTGGTTAACAAGGCACCACACTTCAGGAGCACCACCGTGGCAGGCTGCCTGCCCCAACTCTGCTTTTCCTAATCCGAATCTGCGCCAGCTCTACTGTGATGACAGTAGATGAAACCACCCTACTCAGAGCAGTGCACTCTGTCAAGCCGTTCCCCTGCTTACCAATCATGGGCATCCCTAGGTTTTGGTACGGGCACTCCAGGCTCCCTCCTTGTGTCCTTCCAAAGATAGCAGAGTAAATGGCTATCACCATGGTCTTCTTACAGCTTAGCCTCAGCTTGTCATCTTCACAGGCTACTTTACTCTTGTATTCATCTGGAAGGAAGCAAATATTTAGTTATTCAGCTGATCCAGAGGTGGGTACTCAGCATGAAGGGAGCCTTCTCCCCTCCCCATGGTGTGAGCTTGTCAGAGCAGCAATTCTGGGTATGTGCCCAGACGTGCACACCAGCTTCAGGCACAACTGCATTTGCTAGAGCATCACTGATCATTTGCATTATGTATTCTCCCTCCGGCATTATCAACATATTTAATGAACATATCTTAACCTACCACGTGTCAGTTCCAGTAAATAGGGAATAAATTCATTCTGAAAACAAATAAGTGAGGCATTGCAATTAGAAGCCTGTGGTAGGAGAAGGTAACAGTCCATCTTTAGGCACCTTTCTCATCCACAGATCAGTCATTTATGTGTCAAGCATTTATTCTACATCACAGCAGCTCAAATGCAAACATAATTACACTCAACAGCATCACAGCAGCTCTCTCTTGGCAGATTGAATAGGAACTATACTAAATTTGTTAATGATGGAAGATGCTCTTGTCCTGTTGCAAATACAGATATGTAAAGCCGCTCCCCAAATCCTTCCCGAAATGGTCAGTCCAAGAGTGTAAAATACTCTTGCTTTCGTAAGGCTGGTGTACACAGAACAGATGATCATTTTCCATCCATCAAGGAGACTGAGTAATTATTTCACAAGAAATCACATGTCATTCCCTTCTCTTTGTTATTATTATTTGTATTATGGGAACCTCTAGAGGTCCCAGCTTAAAACAGGCCCTCCCCACGCAAGTCTGCCAAAACACCACAGAAGACAAACACTATTTTGAAGAGCTGAATCTTTACAGTCAGACATCTACAAGCGTGAAAGAGATGAAGAAAACCAAAGAGGAATGTCTACAGTCACCCCAGGCAGCCCACTGCACAGCCAACAATATACCTGTAACCTTCCCAGCCTCTGTAGAGTGACTTTCCACTTGATTATGTTATTTGCTGTTAGAAATGTAGCCACAACAGCATCCAAATTGCTTAATGGGAAGGGTCTCTGAAACATAGCGACCTCCCAAGCACGATCAGTCATTTCATCTGAAATGCTCCTAGTTTTACCAGGTCAAAATTGTGCCATAGAGCACTCTAACGACCAAACAGCGTAAATAATCATCAGCCAGTGCCTGGGGCTGCCCCTGATCCTGTATCATTTACTATCACAGACATGACTTCTGTTTCTCCCTGTCACTGGTTCTCTGTGCCTAATATTGTACACACATCCACAAAAAATTCACATAAATTCACATATGTGATAAATTATGCAAAGTTCATATGCATCAAACTACTCTGTAACTGAGAACACTACCTAATAATTACTTTATAGTTTAATACTTAAGTCTTTATGCCATGGCAGCTAGCATTTAATGTGACATTTCTTACTGTTGTAACTATCAATTCAAGAATCATTTTTCTTTATTTGAGATGAAGACAAATTTTCTACCAAACTTGAATCATAGAATAATTCAGGTTGGAAGGCTCCTGAGAAGATCATTTGTTTTAAGCCATGTTCAGAGCAGGGCAAATTTTACATTAGATGAGATTCTTTTTCAGAAGAAACTGCTTGGGGAAAACACATATTATACCAAAACAGGCATATGTTGATTTAAAAGAAACGTCTGAGAGGATGCTCAGCTTGGAATGTCCACTTCAAATCAAAAAATAGTGCCCTCAGAACAGCCTATTACTTGGTCATCAGAGCATCCACTTGGAATAATAAATCCCTGGTCCAATCCTTCACAGTCCAGGTGAGAATCTTAACCCTAGACACTATTCCAGTACGTAATCTTCCTTCTCACTCTGAGGCATTTTTACAAGAATCTCTGAGAGATTCTAGTTCTTAGCCCACTACAAAGAACCTCTCAAACCTCTTACATATTTATTGAATGTGAAAACATTTTCTCATATCCATCCCTATAGATGAAAACAGAATTAAGACCTAACTCATTCATAGGATAATCTGTGTGAAGAGCACACATCTTTCAGCAATACCTTTAGGGCTAAACCCACAACCAGCTGAGTGTGTAAAACAGTGAAAGGAATCAAGAAAAGAAGCTCTTTTCAATATCAGAGTATGTGGAGAGAGAGGAACTAAACTTCATACAGCTGTGAAGAATTAATCGTTGTTTTATCTATGTAGGTGTTTGATCCACAATCACCATGAAGGCATCTGAATAATGCAGTGAACATACTAAGGGTATATCTTCACCTATAATTGTCTTCCATAGGATTTTTATTTCTTCTGGAAGCAAAACGGGATAAAAGGTTTAACCTGTCTATTCAGTGTAAAACTTAACAGAGTGTAATAGAACTTTATAGACTTAATAGACTTTTTTCCCTTTGGAGATAAAGCATGAATTCAGGCTAGAAGCACAAAGGCACAAAATTCTGCCATAGGACAAGCTATAGACAGCTGATGTTAAACCAGTACTGTGGAAAGGGAGAGTACTTGTGACTGGCTGAAGTGGCTGAAATATGAAATAGCTGATTAACTTTTAAAAAAGATCGATTTTGAAGTCTCTAATGAGTGAGTGTCAGGGTCCTCTGCGAAAATCTTATTTCTTACAAAGCACTAACTCAATTTCCTCTTCTGATTTGGTTATTATTAGCTATGTCGCCCAATTAACGAGTATAACTGATTGCTTAACCACATGTCCTGTGGACTCACTGAAAGTCCCTGGAATATTTATTAAATTCTGTTGACCATTCAAAATCAGGGCTTGTCATTTGGAAATTTGACTGGGATTTAAACACAGTAAGTATTACATTTAGCTCAGAAGACACTGGGACACATAGACATAGCCTATGCCATTCTATGATTCTACGACATTCACACCTCTGCTGACACTTAGAGTAGCAGTCACAAGACAGTCCACAACAAAACTCTGCCTTTTGCATTTGCAGTTCCTACCCTTGTAGGCTTTCTGAGAAGTTGTTTGTGGGGCTTGTGGGGGAAGCTCTGTGATGGATGGCTTGAGATATTAGACCAAGAAGCTGAATTTGAGGGCACACTCCTTGGGAACAAGTGGAGTTTATGGGCAGTGTGCTCCTGGCACACTGCAGTGTGGAGTAAGAGGACTGTGCCACATGAAACAGATGCCACCTCACGGTCACTAAATTCTGCCCTTGGAAATACCTATTGGAACTGCCAGCTGTCAAGGCTCCAGCCGAGTCCAAACTGGGGCTTTCCCAAGGATTACAGCCATTGAAATGTGAAAGACCGCAGTCCTCTGGGTTAACACTGATAGAAGATGCTGCTTTCTTAAAAAGAAAAAAAAAATACGAAAAGAAACGATGAAACATATGGTAGGATTTCAGATTCCCAAAAGGTTCCCTTAAGATCGATCATTGAAGAATATTCTCCATGTTTCTGGACAACTTAATAGAAACCTAGATAAAGAAACAGACAGAAAGTGATGTTACAGAGGACACAAGACCCTGAAAGCATTTTCTGCTTCATAGCATTGCCACCTCCACCTTACCCAGGATGAACAAAAGCCAGCTGTCTTTCATCCAGACACCGATGGCTCCCAGGCACTGGGTGATGGCAAGAACTGTGACTGATATTAAAAAAAAACAACCAACAAAACAGAGCTAAGCATCATTCATATATTTACTGGTACTTCAACCCATAATAGCCTTATATAAATATTGAAAAGAACCCAAGCAGCGTAAGTGACATAAGAGAGCTGGGACTGGGAACAAATCTGCATTTTTCTCTCTCACTCTCCCAAGAAGAACTGGCCTCCTACAGATCAGTCAAAATCTGGTCCTAAGCCTGCTATAACTGTTACAGTCTGGATATAATTCAGTCCAAATGCAAACATTTGTATTAGTGGGTTTCATGTTTCACCCTGAAAAATTAAACATGCTTAAATGGCCTAGGAAAGGTGGCAGTGATATTCAGCAAATGGCTTACTCAGCTCTAATCCCCCATGCAGTCATTTGTAGGGCAACAGAGATTTACCGTGATTAAGATATTTGCTAAGGATAATATCCCTTTTATTACTGCCTGTTTTCAGAGATGCTGGTTTAAATATAACTCAGTAGAGAGAAACCAAGGAGGGAACAGCTGCAGGCTTTTCTAGACACATTTTTAAAGGTCATTATATGACATGATTATAACATAGCTAGAACAATTAAGGGAAAACAATTAGAAATGTTCCTAATGGAAAAATAGTGCTCTCGAACAGTAAAGTGAACACAAAAAACCCTTTGTAATTACAGGATGCACACAAGAATATTGAAGTATTGACCTGTAGTACATATATTTACCCAGTGTCTTAAGAACATTTTCACCTATGATCCATGAGAGTTTTCTGAATTATTGGGAAGCTCAAAACTAAATGTCAATTGGCTCAATCACTGCAAGACCTGGGAGATAAAAGCTCCTAAAAATATTTTGTGTCTAATAAAGTGATGGAATGCATTAATGCCAAAGGTCTAAGTTGCCTAAAATTATATTTTTCAACAGAATTTGTGGGAAAATTTATGAAATTTTGCTAATTAAAATATGCATGCTTCAAATAATCAGTGCATAATAGTTGATCCTATCAAAGAAATGGAAACACATGCAGAGAAATTTGTCTTTCTCACAAAATCCTAACGGATTTAAACCTTAGAATCAGAGATCTGAGCAAAGAAAGAGATTCTGTAGGAAACAGAGATTTTTGCTCATTTCTTTATCAGGTCAGAACTGTTTCCCATAGAAGAATGGCTGTTCCCATAGAAGACTGGGAGTGGAATATCTCCCTTATGGGAAAGGTTGAAGAAGCTGAGGTTTGAGGAGACGGTGGGCCAGATGGCACAAGTAGAATATGCAACCTTTTAGACACAAGTTAAAATTCAACAAACTTATAGGGACACTGGAAGGCATCACATGTGGAGAGATTTTGCTCATTTTAGCATGTCCAGGCACACTACTTAACATTGCAAAAGTCATCAGATAGCAATTTTTTGTGCCAGCATAAAGAGAGGCCGAAAATAAGGG